GCCTGCCCTCCTGCTGCTGCTGCTGCTGCTGCTGCCGCTGCTGCCGCCGCCGCCGCCGCCCCCCCGCTCGCTCGCTCGCGCACCGATTCCTGCCTCCCCAACTCGCAGCGCCACTCAACTCCACTCACCCTCTCCGCCACCCTGCAGCATTTCCGGCGCCTGGCGTCACATCACCGGAAGCACCCGCCTTCCTTCCTCCCCCGCTATTGGTGGAAGCGGCCGGTCATTCCTTAGACGTCAGCGGAGGCGCCTGTTGTGGGAGGAAGTGCCGGGAGGGGGCTCGGCTTTGGCGGGCGGGAGCCGTGACCCCGCATCAGGTGGGTCCCGGCGGGAGAGCGACGCAGGTGCCCCAGGCTCGCCCAGCCTCCAGTGCCCTCGGGCGGGCCGGAGTGAACGGCCGTGCAGCCCGCGCCTGCCCTTGCCTGGAGCTGCCTCCGTGAGCCTCGGGGAGCGCGGAGATGCCCGCTGGGAATCCGCGGTGTCAACCCCCCCGCCCCCGCATTGGGTCTTTCCCAGCAGCAGCAGAAGAATTGTCCGCGGACGCAAGTGAAAACCAAGACCTGCCTCGAGTGGGACGAGCCGAGCCCCGCAGAGCAAGGTGGTGGCAGGAGGCAGCCCCGCGGGAAAGGCCCGGCGCCGAGGCGGAGGGGGTCTGCGAGGCCTGTAGCTGGCGACACGCGTCACCAAGCAAGAAGCAGCGCGGTAAGCATCCACGTCGGTGCTGGGGAGCGGAAACGGGTAAGCTGGCTGCATGCACCAGATGCGCAGCCCTGACCCACGCAGTGGTCGGGAACAGGACGCAGGCATTGGTTGGCAGCTCTTGCTTGGAGGTGTTCTCACTGAGCTGGGAAGATCCCACAGGAAAATTCACTGAGATGAATCGGGTACTTTGCTTCTTGACTGGAGAGGGCTGTGTGTAGCCTTTCCCCCATGCACTTGCTCACTGTTTATGGTAGGGACCTTCATATTTCATTTTATTTCCCCTTTTCTTCTTCCTGCTCATGTTCATTATTTGTGGCCCCACCACTTTTTTTTTTTTTGTGGTGCATCGAAGCTTACCAAGAACAGGGAAGAGCCAAATGAAGGGAGAGGCAGTAACTATTAGTTACTTCTTGTAGTAGCTCATGGCAGAGGCCTGTGCCAGGGAGTCCATTTTGGCGGGCTAGACCAGGAGTCTCAGTGTTTTTGGCTGGAGTGCCCCAACCTTCACCCATGCCTCAACTTCGTGCATGAGAGGCAGGGGAGCCGCAAGGGACCTGATCTTCTTTTCTGGAAACAGCTGCACGTGCGCCTCCAGGTGACTAGCGGGGGAGGGGCTAGGGTTGTGCTGCCCCTGCCCCTTCCCTACCATGCACCATGAAGTGCAAGTGCAGCCGCTGGTGCCACCATGGAGCCAGTGATGGCACTGCGGAGCCCAGTGAGGCTGTTTGCAGCCTGCCCATCACCTACTCCAGCTGCCCAGAGCCCGGGCCATCCATGCCAGGCATCCGGTCTACAGCACCAGCTCCGTGGCTGTGGCTGTTGCACGTGTACCTCTGGGCGCACAGCCAGGCTGGAGCCTGGAGCAACACAACCCTGACCCCTCCCCCACCGTCTGCCTGGAGATGCACAATGCAGATGCTGCCACCACAGAGCCAGCGCTGGGGCTGCAGAGCCTCATGCAGCTGTTCGCATCCTCCTGTCTGCAACAAGCCTGGACTCTGGGCAGCTGCTGCCTGCCACAGACCCTGGGCTGCTTGCAGCCTCCCAGCTACCTGCTGCAAGCAGTCCAGGCTCCATGGCTGGCAGCAGCTGCTCAAAGCCCAGGCCAGCTATGATGTGCCAAGGAAAATGGCTTCACATGCTACATTCTGGTATGCGTGCAGGGGGTTGTTAATCCTTAGCCTAGACCCTCAGGACCAGCAGCATGTGCTGCAAGTCCATGCTGTGAACCAGGTGTGTATAGAACTGTAGCCTTAGGGGCTAAATTGTATTTCTGTTTTTTCTTCGTGGCATAAATCTTTGGTATTTTCAAGTTTTGGTTATAGCAAAGGACCCTGAAGTCTTTGACATACACTGGACAGCTTTTTATTTGTTCTGCAAAGTTTGATGCAAGAGTATAATCTAGTCAAAGTGAATATCAGAACATAAGTGCCATGCTGAGTCCATCTAACTCAGTAGTGACTCTTGACATTGACAGATATGGGTGCAAGTAGGGGGAGCATTCAAATTAATAGATTTAGAGCAGAGGTTCCCAACCTCTGGGCCATGGCTGGCTGTCGGTCTGGAAGTGACCACAGACTCGCAAACCATGGGTCAGCAAACTGCAGACTGGAAATGACCGGCATGCTGCAGACCAGCAGCTAACCCTCTTTTTAATACTGAGTATAAAAAAGGGTTGGCTGACAGTCCTCAATATGCCGTTCACTTCCAGTCCGTGGTTTGCCGGTCTGCAACCTAAAAAGGTTGGGAACCACTGATTTATAGCATAGGGAGACTACCTATGCCTGAAGAAGGGTGATTGCATCCAAAAGCTTGCTAAGAACTTTTTTCCAACTACGCAGTTGGTCTAATAAAAGTTATCGTATCTACTCAAAGAACCTTGCCTGCCTACATTTAGAGTAGTGGTTTTCAACCTTTTTTTCATTTACGGAACAATTTTGAATGGAGTTGTGGACCCCTTTGAGTTGTGAGTGTGGGTATTCACATACTTTTCATTGACTGTAGTCATCTTTCGTGGATCCCTTAGACCCCATGGACCACAGGTTGAAAACCAGAGTCATCTATCATTCATTACTATTCATTACTCTCTCTAGCATCCAAGTGTTTTTGGTTTCTTGAAGTATAACAGTTTAAGCTATTGGAAAGTATTGCTGCTAGCAGATGTGAGGGGTTTTTTTGGTTAGTTCTTTGATTTTTTTTGTGTTGGTTTCGCAGTAAGGTTACACACACATGCACACAATTTGATATAGATGAGTGTTTAACTGTGGAACTTAAAACGAAAAACTGTAAAATTTTAAGTTTTGCTAACAAAACTTAAATATTCAAAGTTATTCATTTTTATAATTATAGCTCTGTAATGGCAGCTTGTAAATAAAACTTTGTATTTTTAAAGAAGTTCTTAATGTATATTTAAAAATTCAGTTATAATTTTGTTTTCCCACCCTCATGGTGCCTTGAGGTGTCTGATGCATGGAAAGAGAGAGAGTTTTTCTCAACCAAACGGTAAGAGTCTGTGCAGTAGAGTCTATAGCAGGGGTGTCCAATCTTTTTGAATGTGGGGCTGGATCACAAACTTTTTATCACCCAGTGGGCCGGCGAACCATATTCAGAGACCTCAGAGGAAGTGGTATCACATCAGGAAGTGATGTCGCGTGGCCTTTGACACCAATGAAGTTGCAGAAAGTGACAATGAAATGGGTCTAACCAGTTCAAAACTCTCCCTCTATAGCATTCATTCAACCTGGAGGGGTGTAGGGAGTCCCCCTGGGCTCGGTCCTCAGGCCTGCACTGTTCAATTTCTTTATTAGCAACTTGGACGAGGGGGTGAAAAGCACCCTGTTCAGATTCACTGATGACACCTAGATTTGCAGCGAGGTGGGCACACTAGGAGGGAGCGGCAGGATACAGCTGGACCTGGACAGGTTACAGGGGTGGGCAAATGTGAACAGGATGGGATTCAATGCTGACAAGTGCAGGGTGCTGCACTTAGGCAGGAAGAACCAGCAGCATACCTACAGGCTGGGGAACTCCCTTCTCGAAAGCATGGTGGCAGAAAGAGATCTTGGAGTCATTATCAATTTCAAAATGAACATAGGCTGCCAATGTGAGGACACAGTCAGTAAGGTCAACCACACCTTGTCATGTATCCACAGATCTATCACGAGCAGGTCCAAGGAAGTGATCCTCCCCCTCTCTGTGACATTGGTCAGGCTGCAGTTGGAGTACTGCATCCAGTTCTGGGCGCCTCACTTCAGGAGGGACGTGGACAGCATCAAGAGGGTCCAGAGGAGGGCCACTTGCATGATCAGGGGGCAGCAAGGCAGGCCCTACAAGGAGAGCTACAGGACCTGAACCTGTTCAGACTCCACAAGAGAAGGCTGAGAGGGGACCTGATGGCCA